GTTTGCGGCCACTAGCTTCAGATTTTTTTTTTTAATCTTCACCCACCCTCAGTATTAGGAAAGCAAAGAATTTGCCAATCACGAATGTGTTAACTTACAGAAAAGTACAGGACAGAAGATAACACTAACCCACAGCTCAGCTTTATCAGTTCTTAATATTCTGTCTTATTTGCTCCACACATTTTATTTATTTATTTTGGAAATGAAACTTCAGACACAAAGCTACCTTATTTATGAATGTAATGATAGAAATTTGTTTGCTCATAAATGTTTGGTATTCTGGCATATAAAGCTTCAATTATTCTGTGAGTTGCACAATAAACTGTGAGTTTTATGGAATCAGGTGTTTTAATTTTGTGGATAACAATGTTTGTATAAATGTGCTGCAGTTTACAGTGTATTAACAAAACTTGTCAGTTTATGGGACTTCATATCCATAGTTTCAGACAGAGACAGAAGATAATGCCTCATTTGCCTAAAAAACATTTAACTGTGCAGCCTATAGAAATTTAGTAACTAACTCCCCTCAGAATTAATTAACTGCTGGCAGCCGTGTAGCCCCAGAAGACCATGGCCTAGGTAATTTTGTTATTAAATTTTGACTTCATAAGAACTCAGTCATGATTTAGATTTACATAGATTGTATACAAACACAAACTCAGTATTTTACGAATCTTTGTAATCAGAAAACTCTTGCTAATCAGCAAGTACATACAATCAGGTAAAATTCAGTAAATGAAAGTAGTTCAGTTGGGCTCCGTGGCTCAACCTGTAATCCCGCGTCTTTGGGAGGCTGAGGTGAGTGGATTGCCTGAGCCCACGGGTTTGAGACCCGCCTGGGCAACTTGGTGAGACCTCATCTCTACAATAAATAAATAAATAAATTAGCCAGGTATAGTAGCGCGCGCCTGTAGTTCCAGCTACTCGGAAGGCTGAGGCGAAAGGATCGCCGGAGCCCAGCAGGTCAAGGCTGCAGTGGCCTGGAGCGGCCACTGCACTCCAGTCTGAGTGACAGAGTGAGACTCCAACTCAAAAAAAAAAAAGAAAGTAGTTCCAGAATAATATTATCTAGATGAGGGACCATTTGCTGAAAACAGAATGGAAAGTGGAGGGGAACAAAAGCAGTTGGCACAATATATATTGTATGGTACAGTTTTTAAAAACAGTTCTCATTTTCTGACAGGGCAGATGACTCATGCCTGTAATCCCAGTACTTTGGGAGACTGAGGCAGGAGGATCACTTGGGCCCTCATCTAGATGATATTATTTAGATGGCGTTCAAGACCAGCCTAGGCAACATGGCAAGACCTTGTCTCTACAAAAATCATAAATAAAATTAGCTGGGCATGGTGGCCTAAGCCCAGGAGGATTGCTTGAGTCCAGGAGTTCAAGACCAATCTAGGCAACATAGCAAGACCTTGTCTCTACAAAATTCATAATATAGCGGGACATGGTGGCCTAAGCCCATGACGTTGAGGCTGTGGTGAGCCATGATCATGTCATTGCACTCCAGCCCGGGCGACAGAGTGCGACCACTAATCAAAAGGACAGCATTTTATACTATTCTTTAACTCATATATACTTAAAAAATAGAAAAGGGGTATTGTTTTATTTGCTTGTTTGTTTGCTTATTTTGAATCTGAGTGTCACTGTTGCCCAGGCTGGAGTGGTGTGTCATGATCACAGCTACTGTGGCCTTGATCGGCTGGGTTTAGGTGATCCTTCTGCCTCAGCCTTCTAAGTAGCTGGAACTACAGGTGCATGCTAGCTACTGATTAGCACCTGGCTAAATTTTTTGATTTATTGTAGAGATGAGATCTCTCCAAGTTGTCCAATCCCTGGGCTCAGGCAGTCCTCTCCCCTTCAGCTCCCAAAGTGTGAGCCACTACTCCTGGCCTTACTTATTTTGAGTTGGGTTCTTGCTCTGTCACCCATGCCTAGAGTGCAGTGACTCACCACCACCTCAACATCCTGAGCTCAGGCAGTCCTCCTTAGCCTCCTGAGTAGCATGCAGACCTGAGCCACCACGCCCAGCTAATTTTTAAAATTTTTTTGGGGGGGGTAAAGTGTCACTATGTTGTCATAGGCTGGTCTCGAACTCCTTGATTCTACATGCATAAGCCACTGTGCTTAGCCAACATGATATTTTAAATTGGAATATTTGGTAGGATTCTGTAGCAGGTGCATCAGGTGATTTCTGTGTAGGTGGTCCGCAGACTGCATGAATGTTGCAGAGGAGAGATTGCAGACTATTTGGCTGGCCTGATTCATTCGTTTCTTTTGTGAATCCTGATGGAAGTAGCATTTGTGGTCCTTAAGAATATTTAGTTAAAAGTGATACATGCACCCGTGGCTTAAAAAAAAAGGCTCAAATATTTCAAAAAGGAAAAAAAATGAAGCACAAATCTTCACTCACCGTTAGCTGGTTTTTACGACCATTGAGAGTGTCTTCTGTATTTCTCTAGGAATAAGAAAGTACGTAGCTGGGCGCAGTGGCACGCCTGTAGTCTCAGTACTTTGGGAGGCAAAAGAGGATTGCCTGAACCCACGGGTTCGAGACCAGCCTGGGCAACATGTGGCGAGATCTTGTCTCTACAATAAATCAAAAAATTAGCCGGACATGGCGAGATCTTGTCTCTACAGTAAATCAAAAAATTAGTGCATGCCTGTAGTTCCAGCTACTTGGAAGGCTGAAGCAGAAGGATCACCTGAATTCAGCAGATCCAGGCTGCGGTGGCTGTGAGTGTGCCACTGCACTCCAGCATGGGTGACAGAGTGAGACTTCAACTCAAAAAAAAGAAAAAACTTGATAGGGGTGGTGGAGTTTGGGGGGGGGGTGGCAAATGTGATTTTAAAACTTTTTTTTTGAGTCATTGGTCTCCCTGTGTTGCCTATACTGGAGTACAATGGCACAGCCATGGCTTACTGACTTACAACAGCCTCCACCTCCTGGACTCAGGCAATCCTTCTTCCTCAGCCTCCTGCGTATGGGGACTACAGGTGTGCTCCACCATGCCCAGCTTTTTTTTTTTTTTTTTTTTAGTTGGATTCTCACTGTTACCCAGGCTGGAGTGCAGTGGTATGCTTATGGCCACCACAGCTTCCACATGCTGGCCTCAGGTAATCCTTCCACTTCAACCTTCCAAGTAGCTGGAACTACAGGCGTGTGCCCCCACTTCGGCTAATATTTTGATTTATTGTAGAGATGAGGTCTTGTCAAGTTGCCCAGGCTGGTGTCAACCTGTGGGCTCAGACTATCCTCTCACCTTGGCCTTCCAAAGTGCTGGGATTATAGGCGTGAGCCACCACACCCAGCCTTTAAAACATTTTTTAAAAAATTTATGTAGAGCTGAGATCTCACTGTTGCCCAGGCTGGTCTGGATTTCCTGGATCAAGCAGTCTTCCTTCCTGGCCACCCAAAGTGCTGAGATTACAAGTGTGAGCCATCATACCTGGCCAAAACTTTCTAAAAGTATAAAACTTTAAAATAATAAAAAATGGAAATAATAGTAAAAATAACCACCTCACTCAAATTAGGCTATTCTGGCAGTCTGGGCTACTGTATTATCTGTGGAGATGGTGGTGCTGTGACACTCTGTACGGATTTTGAAGTCTGGAGAAATCTGAGCTGGGTGCAGTGACTCACACCTGTAATTCCAGTACTTTGGGAGACTGAGGCAGGAGGATCGCTTTGAGTGCAGAAGTTTGATACTAGCCTGGGTAGCACAGCAAGACCTCATCTCTACATAAATTTATAAACAACAAAAAAGCCTGACTTGGTGGAGCATGCCTATAGTCTTAGCTATGTGGGAAGCTGAGGCAGGAGGATCACTTGAGTTTAGGGTTTCAAGACTGCAGTGAGCAGTGATTGTGCCACAGTGTTACAGCCTGGGTAATGAGATTCTGTCTCCTAAAAAAAGGATTTTGAGATCTGATCTTAAACTGGGGCTGCTAAGCTCCAGTCTAATATTTTGAGTTCATTAGACCTGCTTCTCCTTTCTTTCCTTGTGGGGAAACGTGACCCAACTGTGCCCTGGCCAGTGCTTACGTTTTCTGCTTTAAATCAGACCTATTTGGAGGAACTACAGGAGGTTTCTCCCTTAACAGGTAGATGGGGGGGTTAGGCAACTTCATCATACTATTTGAGTTTTTCTCTTTTGATTCATGCATGCAACTAGTGAATGATCTGTCTAAAGTGCATGGTTTGAAAAGACTTAATTCAGCATGGGTTGGCAAGAGTTGAAACAACTAATTGTTAGGTCACAGAAATGTTTTACAGTATAAACTATTTGTTTCTTTATATGCCTGTGTATTATTCAAATTATTAAGATATTTGGGGAGATTTGAAGCTGTATTATATATTGTTAGGTGATTTTAAAGTTATCTGGTGTCAGAAAAGACTCCAAAATGGAAGT